ATACTGAAGCTACTTATTTGTTTAATGAGCTAAGCAAGTCATTAAAAGATTTTTACGACATAAATAGTATGGATGACTATCTAGTATTAGGCGACTTCAATTTACCTTTCATTTCGTGGCGGGAGGATCACACCTACTACGTATCGAAACATTGTAATTCCGATCTCCTAGAGGCCGCCATTAACCTCTTACATATTTTTGACTTAATGGGAATATCTCAATATAACCTAACTACAAATAACCGTGGCAACACCTTAGACCTCGTCTTATCAAATTTATTTATTCAGTGCACTACATCTCGGAGTTCTTTGGTAAACATTGACCAATTTCATATTCCCTTAAAGATAACTATTCAAGATATATTCTTAAAACCTTTACCGCCAAAAATTAAAGTTCTAAAGAAATTTTTTAAGGGTGATTACGATGCAATAAATTCTAAGCTATTGTCTGTAAATTGGTACGATATTTTAGTTCCTACTCCGTTTGAGGAGGCCGTAAATGTTTTCTACCACATTGTTAATAATCTCATAGATTTGCATATTCCAGTAGCCAAAGTTTCAACTCGATATCGATACCCTAAATGGTATACTCCCGCGTTAATTAATATTTTGAAAGAAAAACATAAATATCATACAAAGTGGAAGAATTTTAAAAGATTGAGTGATTATGCAACTTTTTCCTTATTAAGGTCACGGGTTAAAAAATTACAAATTGAAGCATATTCTAATTATATAACCAGGTGTCAAGACGGTATAAAAAAGTCTCCTAAAGAATTTTGGAATTATGTTAAAAGCAAACGTTGTGATTCTGGAATTCCTCGCAATATGTGTTATATGGAACGTCCTCTAACAAACGGCCAAGATATTTGTAACGCTTTTAACGAATACTTTCAAAGTGTGTTTCAGCCGTCTGTATACAGAGATTTGAACTTAGAAAAAGAATCTGACGTTGCCAGTAGCCTTTGCACAATTCACATAGATAAAAAATGTTTAGAAACGTCTTTCAAAAATTTAGATGATCGAAAGGGTTGCGGAACGGACGGCTTACCGGGAGTTTTCTTAAAAAGAAGTCAAGCTGGCCTCACAACGCCGTTATTAATACTTTTTCAGCGTTCGATTAATGAAGGAATTTTTCCTAAACAGTGGAAGGAGGCTCAACTAACCCCCATTTATAAGAAATACTCTAGAATGAATGTAATAAACTACAGAGGTATTTCAATATTAAATATAGTCGGTAAAATGTTGGAGAAAGTTATTTACAACTATATTTATAGTCACATTAAACAATGCATACCTAGTAATCAACACGGTTTTGTTAAATCTCGAAGTGTAATAAGTAATCTACTTGAATTTACTCATTCCGTTAAAAACGACATTAACGATAATACACAAATAGATGTGATTTTTACTGATTTTGAAAAGGCATTCGATACTGTGGATCATTTCATACTTTTACAGAAGCTTTATTCAGTCGGTATCAGGGGCAATCTTCTAAGATGGATAGAATCTTATATTACAAATCGCTGTCAACGTGTGGCACTTGGGGGCTTTAAATCGGACTTTATCAATGTTACCTCCGGCGTACCTCAAGGATCACACCTTGGACCCTTATTTTACAATATTTATTTGTACGACTTAAGAACCTGTTTTCATAACTCCAATTTTGTTTTGTACGCAGATGACAAAAAAATTTATAAAAAAATTTGTAGCTTGGAAGACTGCTTTAAGCTTCAAGACGACTTACTAAGGTTATCCAATTACTATAAACTAAACAAAATTTCAGTTAATGTCGCTAAATGCAAAGTTATACAACTGACTCGTAAACTCAAAGGTGTGCTAGATTATAACTACTCATTAAACGGACAAACTATACCAAAAACGGAGCAAATACGCGACTTAGGTGTTACCCATGACGCCAAACTAACACATAATATTCATATTGAAAATATAACTCAAAAGGCATTTAAAACCCTCGGCTTTGTGCTCCGCACTACTGACGCTTTCAATGATATCTCATGTTTAAAAGTTCTATATTTTGCTTATGTGCGAAGTGTTCTTGAGTTTGCAAGTCCTATCTGGCGGCCACACTACCTTTGTCACATAAACAGGTTGGAAAAAGTTCAAAAACTATTTATAAAGAAACTAAATTTTTTAACTCAATACAAAACTAATAATTATAACGAAGCTTGTGCACATCATAATATTAACACTCTAGAAGACAGAAGAGATATAATAGACATGATGATTTTTTACGACATTCTCCATAACAAACTTGACTGCCCGGACATATTGCGTAATATTTTCTTTCAAGTCCCAAGCCTTCGCACTAGACATACAAATATTTTTTACGTTCCGTACGCTTCTACCTCTTACTTGAAACATTCCCCTCTTTACCGACTGCCCGATATTTACAATAAAAAATTTTCATCCATAGATATTTTTCATCTTTCACGCCCAGTCTTTAAAAAAGCCCTAATTAGCACCTTTAAAAAATAAGAACATACATTCACTTACACTTACACATGCATACAAAAAACACACCCCATCCCTGGATACGTCAATTCAGTTCTCGTTTTATTCACCTATAATATAGAACCTTGTCACTTGGGTAATCCTATTAAATTATTATTTGTAAATCCTTGTAATTGGCGTAATTAATTGCCTAACTACAAAATAACATGTACGTTTAGCTGTAAGGATTTCTGTAAATAAATAAATAAATAAATAAATAAATAAATCGTATCAAGCTACGATCATAGTATGTGTCTTATGATGCGACAAGTACGGTCGTGTCATCTATTATATTTCGGTATATAAATAATAAAACATGTTTAACGGGTTAAAACTGAATTATAAGTCTGGGACCGTGGTTTAAATAAATTAGAGATAAATTAACTAATATACTTCGCGTTTTAAACCGTTAGAAGTATTTTATTGAAAGTATATGCATTAAATGTATCACGATTGTAAAGAAAATCGTATTTCATATGTCGATTCAAACTCAGTAGACCATCTAGAATCTAGATGGAGTAAACTTATTGCTTTATTGGGACCATCTGTTACCCACTTCGCTAACACTGGATCTTAGGAAAGTTATAGTTGTTTAAAGGTCTCTGTAGAGCCAGTATACATGATTTTATATTATGCATGACATACCTATATTTCTCTTAACTTTCAAATGAACGACTTAGACACTGAAATCGCTATTCCCAAAATAGATATATTCGCGAAAATGATGTCTATTTTTTAATCTTAATTTTATTTACCTATTACTAAAGAAAAAAAAAAGAATATATAAAGCTTTTTTGTTTGTTTGAACGCGCTAATCTTAGGAATTGCTGGTTCCAATTGAATAATTCTTTTTGTGTTGGTTAAACCATTTTTCGAGGAAGACTTTAGGCTATTAAACATGCAGAGCAATAGTAGCAAAGAAACAATGGGAAACGTAAAACAAACGGGAAACAATATTCACCTTTGAGAGTTACCGTTGCGTACGTGATAATCTTCATACGAAAGAAAAATATATACAGTAGTAGAAAGTAAATGTTCAAATTAATTCTTTTGACTAAAAAATTTTGCCTCATTTTGGAGTTCAGAATTCAGTTCACTAAGTTTGACAGGCTATGGGAATGCATCCCCATCGGGTCCAAGAGAAAAGTCAACACAGATATTTAAATAAAACACTGCAACGGTTTAAAACGCGATATATTAGTTAAATTTATTTTAAAATAATTTTGAAATAAGTTTAACTAATGTATGGCGTTTTAAACCGTTAAATGTGTACTACTCGCGTAAACTATAGACAGTATTTAACGGAGATTATTATTATTTGATTATAATAATATTAAATTATTACAACATGTTTCTTATCATTTTTTTAAACATATTGGATTCATTCTGGATATCTGGATATTAAATAAGATGTAGGAATACGGAAATTGTCTTGCCTTCTTGATCATAAAGCAGCTAAATGCTGCATGAATAGAAACTGAAAGTGTATTTTTTTATAACAAAATCATTGTTTTTTTTTGTGTGTATGAGAATCGAATTTAAAACCCGGCGCGATATTTTTACAACTAGGCAAGGAGATAGCCAGTAATGATGAGGTAATAAATATTGAGGGGACAACGGACGTCAATACAAACACATAAATCAAAGCACACATTGAAACAATCATCGCGAATTCGGTATCTAGCACTCAATAGCGATAAAAGGTTTATATTAAAGCGCCTTATCTCCAAATATATTAATTCTCTTAAAATATTAATTGAGTTTATCTTATCAGTCGATTCGTACTTTCCTATCTATAAATTGTCCACGACTTATTTTTGTACGCATTGTCGTTCTGGATGACTTGTTATTTTTATTATTATTAATCGTACAGGCTGTTTTAACAATCAGAAAAATAAAACACATACATTGAAAAAGAAACTGCAATATCTATTTTGACACGTAAGTATAACAGTATTTTTAATTTTATTACTAGCGACCCGCCCCGGACTTCGTTTGGGTACACCTTGCTGATCTACTTAAAAAAAACTAGCGTTGCGCAGTTTTAAAGATTTAAATATACAGAAAAAGTGACTTTGTTTTATACTATTTTGAGATCATTATTCTACTCTCCTATTGTTAATAACAGAGGTAATTATTTTAATAAATGTACAATGTCTTATTTTCTAAAAAAAAAAGATAAATCAAATTATAACATCACATAAAAACTCTTGCTTAATCTATAACCTAAAATTTGTACATAACCACAGACTATGAAATTAAGAAGCAATAAATAATCATGACAGAACGATTGCATAGTTCTGTAGACTGCACACCCTGTATGTATTTCATTTTAACCATAGATTATAGATACTTACCACTTCGTAATCAGTTAGAAAAGTGAATACGGAGCAGGCGGACGCGTCTTTCGCCCGTTATCGTTTTCGTGTCGATGATAAAATTCTTCCGTGAAGCGGTGTTTGTGATTGTCAATTGAAATATGTGTTAAAGGAAACTTTTTGGTGAGTTATTAAAATGAAGTATTTGAAATGCACTTAGCTTGTTTACAATATAATTTAAGAGACAATATGATAAGATTTTGGCGGTTTACGATAATTTGGATTTATATCATTGGAATGCGATAAGCCTTAAAACTGAAAGTGATAGATTATAGATTTTTTTAATTTTAAATGTTTATTTTTGGAATGTATAGTAGGACAGCTACTCGCATATAAAAGTCATTAATTTAAGGTTATCTTTTTGTCTGTTTTAATAAATAGGTAGAAACGATTGCATCGAATAACATTGTTTACTGCACGTGGTTACGAGATTATTAGATCAACATTTGTTGTTAATTTATACTATTTTTCAATAATTAATATTTCCAATAAAACTCCTTTTTATATTATGTTAATATTATTTTTACATACATTTTGGAAATACCAATATGGTAGATGTTTACCTAGGTAAGGTGTTTTAGCAGTTTTAATACCTATAGCAAATATATTACTTAAATTATAGGTACTTATTTTTTTATGAGGATGATAATGATGATGATGACGCTAGCACACTTAGTAGCAGATTTGATTTTGATATTAGGGACACCCCCATAACTAGGTACCAAAAATCTGTAACAGGACATCTAGGTAGGAATCGTTCACACCATTATCATTCACTCTAACTCGCATTTAATTCACACCTTTGTATCACACTGTTATTGCAGAGGAAAAGTTGAAGCGATGAGGGACTTGAAAGCATAGTATTTATTATAGCGTTGAGATTTTTATCTTGAAAACTATTCTCATATATAATTCAGCTATGAAACCAAGATGTAATATGCAACACGAGAATAACATATTTCTACAAATACTGTCTATAGTTTACGCGAGTAGTACACATTTAAACAAAACACTAACGCTTTAAAACCGTTAGTGTGTTATTAAATATTTCTACAATTCAATACTGAGTTATATGTTAGATGCAGTTTTTACTTCATTACAACGATAAAATACTACGGTAATTTATTAAAAAAAGTCTGTCAAAAACTTATACCCCTTATAAATCTTGTTTATCTCCAGGGTTCTGTAACGTGTTTTAAAACTTTATATTTGGATCGTCTTACGCGTTTAACCAAAGTTGTAATAATTCGGCATTTTTGCTTTTTAAAATGTCTCTGGAGTACTTTTCGAATATTCGGGACCAAAAAGGTCGGAAACTTTTCTTCCTTCTTTAAAGCTTTTCTATTTTTGCTTGGGTTCGCGATATTAACACGCATTTTTAGATCCTTTCTACCTGGGTACTTTTTGTGTATGTGTGTGTGTGTAAAATCCCCTTTTACCACGTTGCTTTGGGACTTAGACTTGCACCAATTTATCGTTTCTCTGGGATTTGAATGCAAGCGTGCTCGGTTTACCATTTACCATTTGCCCATTTCTTTTGACCATTCACGGAATTGGTTATTAGTGTAGTAAATTGGAAAATTTGTTTTTACTTCGCTAGGCAAACTACCACGCTAATTAATTTTCGCGTCCACTCGTTATATTATAAATGTGAAAATGCATCAATTCATATTTTTTGGCATATAATCATTTTGTATAAAGCCTCCTTTTAGTTATTAAAAGAGAAAAAAATATATGAAATCTATTTAAACAATATAACAGAAGCTTTCGCGGCCACCTTGTAAAACTATTGGGGATCAGTTCCATTAGACAGTTTTCCCTTGAAGAACGCTTAACATCCTGAAGATGCCATCAATCGGGATGGCAAAAAGGCCATATTAAAATAATAGTGCTTCCAAACGAAAAGTTGCTTCTCATCTACAAGTGCGTTCTATAAAGCACGTGTTTTTCCCAGGCATATTTCATATTTAACTTAAATTCATATGTTTCTTATGTCAGATCTTTCTACCTTTATACCTATTTTGTTCAAATCCTTCAACTATCCCCAAATACCTCTCTTTAACGGATCGCATCAATTCGATGTTCCCTTGAGACGTCGAAAAATACAACCACTCCAGAAACATACTTTAGCCTTTAACATACTAATGTTATACATATATATTACTGTCTTTTTGGATCAATTCTGCTTTGAAGTAAAAAGCACTTGACACAGTTCCTGTAGGACACTCAATTGAACAAGTCCGGAAGCGACGTAAGATTTTGTAGAAGGTCCTAAAAAAATATCGCCTTAACGAAAAGATCTTGTGTTTAAAATATAAAGAATAGCAATATTTTACACACACATAATAATCAAAATGTGCGGTTGTTTCTTGATTTATTTGTTTTCGTTTTATTCTGCGCAGACGACTAATGGCACAAGATTAAGGTAGACAAATGAGGCTCCTAGAGCTAGAGTGGCCTAAAAACAAAAGGCTTGATTATCGATACTTGGGAAAATAAAAATGCGACTTAGACGAAAATGAGTCTATTATTTGGGTAGGTTTTATGTTAACAATTTTCGATCTCTATGCCCTTGTAGATTAACATTATTATTATTCTTATCTATCGGAGACACCTGTGGTAGGACGGGTGATCAGTCCACGTTATCAGCCAACCATTTCACCCATTTTCCTTTCCTCCTTGCAGAGGTTTTGGGTCATCCAACTCTCCCCGTGTTCCCTTTAAACCTTCCGGTTTGCTTGCAGAATCTTATTATTTTTTCCATCTGTAGTTCTTTGATGTCATCTTCTATAACTTCGCCCCAACCCATATGTAGATTAACATTGTAAGACTATAATAATAAATTTAAATAAGTCACGTCATAAAGTTGCAGTTAGGCTACTCTCCCTCTAAAAGCCAAATAAATCAGTCTGTCTACTTTTCCCTTTGGTAGGTCATAATTACTATCACTTAAAAGAATTGAATTTTATCATCACCACCCTGTATTATTTAGAGATTTATTATTTATACTATATTTAATATTAACGTATTTAAATGATTTTAGTAAGGAATACAGATATATATATATATATATATATATATATATATATATATATATATATATACGTCTCAATGGGAGATATCAAAGCTCCTTTTACTCCCTTTGTAAGACTTAAACCGATTTCCATATGCGATGTGAGCCCTTCTGAGTAACGTTGATCCAGAAATAAAAGGTATTTGTATCTGATATCTATAAACCATTTTGAATTTAGATATGTTTATGAATAATTGTAGCAAATAAAGTATAGTAAACACAGTTGGTGTTTGAAAACTTTCCTAGGATGTAAGTATGGAGATTCCTATCAATATGAAATCTTGAAACTTTATTTCGTAAATTGACAATGTAATTAAGGGTTAAATCTAAGTTTTTAAAGCAATTATTAAAGCAAAGTTTGTTTGTTTATTTACGCAGAAAACTAAAGGGAAATATCGCGTATAATAAATAAAACAAACAAAAACATTACTTTTAAACCATCAAAACAAATAACAAAAAAAAATATATCTAAATCTTAATACTCAAAAATAGTTCTTAAACCTAAGAATTTTGCAAGATTTAAATAAAATAAGTCTATTTTGGAAACTGTCTTTTACATGAAAAATACTTCTTTTACAAACACCTTTGCATTTTAAATTTAAACGTTAATTGCAAGTACGAAAATAAATCATTTGACTCTTTCTTATACAGTGAAACTATTTTGTGGACGGGGCCAAATTTACCAATATTACTTCTAGTCGTTGAAACGTAAAATAAGTTTTTGGTTCGCATAGGTCAAGCGGCGATGTGGAAGTAAATCTGTTGATGTAAATCGGAACAGTCAAGATGTTGGCAAAATATATCTTCTTTAACGTTCCAATTATATTTAATTCTTATGAATTACAATTTTCTAATTACATTATAACTATTACTTGTCGAGGCAGCGCAACAGGTTCGTATCTCGACGGTGTTCGTGCATTTTATTTAAACATGAATAAGTAGATGTGTTTTATTTTATAAAATTAATCTTAAGGACCTACGAAAATGAAATATTCTGGGAAAGGTCTAAATGACAGCTTAAATGTTCTTAATCTTAATATCTGTCTATTCAAATGAAATCCGCTTCATTTATAAAAAAAAGAAATAAACGATCATTTCTTAAATTAATTGAAAAGGAATGTTATCTTATTTCACGAAATTAAATAGGTATATTCTTTATAACAAGTTCCCAGATGAAATATTAATATTGGAGTTTATTATCTAAAATTGTTGCATATTTAAATCACATTTGTTTTTTTATTTATTCTCACAATTAAAGTAAAAAGTGTTGAGGATTTTAGTTGACTTTTTTATTAAAATAGTTTGCAATATATTTATTATAGGATTTATTGTAGGATATGAAGTAATAAATACAATTTTCAAGTCACGTCTATTGTCCATTTTACGTAACCATGTGAAAGGGTAAAGATGTGACCTTTTCACTCGGATGGCTACTTGACCGAAAAAAGGACCTTTAGCTATCTCTTATCGAATCTTGATAAATCCAATTAATAATTTATAAATTGCAATCAAGATAAAGGATCACTATCTACGAATACACAGAGTAATTATTTTATAAGTTTGTTTTCCACTCTAACGTTTAAAATACTGACTGTCAAACCATTTGTGAAAACTACGTAAGTCAGGTACGAAAAAAAGACTAAATTCATCCCTTTGATTTTATGGTTTACTTGACTGTCAATAATTAAATTCAAGTACAAAACCCACATCAAGAAAAATGTTTGTACGGTGTTTGGACTTTTCAATAAAAAATTCTAGGGGCTGTCCGAAGTTTCCGAAAATGAGTGTTCAATACCCCGTCTGGAAGAGCACGTCAGCTTCGAATATCATTATTAAATAACGACATAAATAATGACGAACGTCGCTAAAGCCTGACAATCCGCTTTTAGCGATGAAGCAGCGTGGTGGGCCTAAAGCCAATGTTGAAACGAAACCAAACATACCGTGTACGTAATTATAATGAATAAATATCTTACAAAACATGTCAGTAATTACGCACGTATATTTTGTCAATTTTGTTTTTCGGAGTCACAGGTAATCTGAACAGAGA